GCATGTGGCTGGCAAGCCGCGGTTTGCCGACCACTGCCCTAGAGAATAGGTGTTGGTGTTTTTGGGGTGGGGGTGGGGAGTTCTAGTTTGTCTGGATAAACAGCCAGCTCCCTTCAGTTGCCTACCAAACAATTGTTTCCTAAAGAAGTTATTTAAAGGTTGAAAAGCTTTCCTTGTGCACTTTGCTAGCTCATGCCTCTGCTGATTACTTATTTGAAGGGACTTGTCAATTTTATGGGAGGGAAATTGGAGAGAGGGCTTTGGAAACCACAGTCTGGCATTGGTGGAGAGAGGGTGTTTATTTGTTATGATTAAGGCACCCTTGCATCCCAAGGCTTCTGTAGGACCATTAGCTAATGTTCTTTGAAGCAAGAGCAACCGAATTTCCACTGTGGTGAAGAATCTACAACATCAGGCTCATCTTTTCCTTTAAAGATGTAATATTCACACTGCTGAGTTCAGTGCAGTTGAAGAAAGCCATTATGAAACTGGCCTTCCTCAGCTAAGTCTGCTGGATCTCAGAAATTCAACCATTGGTACCGTGGCCACCAGTCAGACAGACTCTATTAGGCAACATGTTCAGGACCCTTTGAGAAAGAAGAACAAAGCTAGAGGAATCACAATACCTGATATCAAGCTATGCTATAAGACCATTGTAATCAAAACAACTGGTATTGACATAAGAGCAGGCATATAGATCAATGGAACAGAACAGAGAGCCCAAGAATCAACCCACACCTATACTGTGAAATGATATTTGCCAAAGGAGGCAACAGCATACAATGGGGTAAAAACAGTCTCTTTAGTAGTAAATGGTTTTGGGAAACTTTTATGTGAAAAAAATAATCAAAACCACCTAATTATACCATTCAGAAGAATACATTCAAAATGAATAAAAGACTTAAATGTAAGTCATGAAACCATAAAAATCCTGGAAGAAAACATAGGCAGTAAAATCTCAGACATCACACATAGCAATATTTTTTGCTGATATGTCACTCAGGGCAAGGGAAATAAAGGAAAATATAAACAAATGGGACTACATCAAACTAAAACGCTTCTGCACAGCAAAGGGTACCAGCATCAACATGAAAAGGGAAGCCTCTGCGTGGGAGAACATATTTGCCAATGATACATCTGATAAGGGGTGAATCTCCAAAATATATAAAGTACTCATACAGCTCAACCAAAGGAAGACAAACAATGCAATTTAAAAGTGGGCAGAGGACCTGAGTAGACATTTCTCCAAAGAGGACATGCAAATGGATGAGACATGAAAAAATGCTCAATTTCGCCCATCATCAGAGATATGCAAATTAAAATGACAGTGAGGTACCACCCCACAACTGCCAGAGTGGCTACCATCAATAAATCAACAAACAACAAGTGCTAGTGAGGATGTGGAGAAAAAGGAACCCTTGTATACTATTAGTGGAAATGCAGACAGGTGCAACCACTATGGAAAACAGTGTGGAGTTTCCTAAGGTAATTAAAAATAGATCTTCCATTTGACACAGTGATCCCACTTCTAGGAATATATCTTAAGAAGCCTGAACCACCAAATCACAAAGAATATATGCATCCCTATGTTCAAAGAGCATTATTTACAAGTAGAGGCCCGGTGTATGAAATTCATTCACTGGAGGGGGTGGCCCTTAGCCCGGCCTGCACCCTCTTAAAATCCTGAATCCCTCTCTCCTTACCTCCCACCTGCTCGCTGCTCCTTAGTGGTGCCATGGAGGCTGGAGAGGTTCCCACCACCAGTAATGCACTTGCCAGCTGCGAGCCTGGCTTCTGGCTGAAACACGCTCCCCCTGCGGGAGCACGCTGACCACCAGAGGGGCAGCTCCTGCATTGAGTATCTACCCCCTGGTGGTCAGTGCACATCATAGCAACTGGTTGTTCTGCAGTTCAGTCGATTTGCATATTAGGCTTTTATTATGTAGAATAGCCAAGAGCTGGAAACAGTGCAAATGCCCATCAGTAGAAGAGTGGGTAAAAAACCAATGGTATGTTTACATAATGGATTACCACCTGGCAGGAAAAGAGAAGGAATTATTAACTTTTGAGACATCATGTATGGACCTGGAGATTATTATACTCAGTGAAATAAGCCAGTCAGATAAAGAGAAAAAGTATATGATCTTACTTATATGTGCAATCTAATGAACATTATCTGATGAGCAAAATAGAAACACAGGCATGAAGACAAGGAATAGACTGACAGTTGTTGAGGGGATAGAGTATAGGGAGATTGGATGAAACTAACTGAAGGGATTAGACAAAGAACATCCATGGACACAGATGACAATGTGGTGTGGGCCAGAGGGTGTGGGGAAGTCAGGTGCTGTGTTAACAGGGACAAAGGAATGGAAAATGGAGATATCTGTAATAGTGTCAACAATAAAATAAAAACTTTTTAAAAGTATATTGCTATTTACAGTTATCTATTCATAGAACATAAATATGGGGCTATTGCTCTTCCATAAGATGGAGGGTGAGGTATAGGAGAGCGGGGTAATTCTGAATAGAGTAGGGAGCCGGTGTGTCAGGTTGAGGGCAGGATGTTCTGTGTAGCCTTAAAAGGAGGCTGCACTGATGAGCAAGTCAGCAGACCATGATCCAGGGATGGACAGGAGGTACCCAAGGGAAGACCAGGGGAAGGGTGTTGTCATGAGGGAAAATGCTGGGATGAGGGAAAATGCTGGGTCGGGGCAGAAATCCTGGCACCGGGAGGACTCAGATATCAATAAACCTCAGACAATCCCCAAATTATGCTTTATTCTCACTGTCACCTTCCGTCCTTAGGCCTGCTCTTGCCTGGGCCCCAGGGTTCTACTAATTGTCCTCTGAAAGAGTTCATTCATAATGAGAGCACAGATTAATTGTGAGGCAGAAGGTGGGCCATGGGCTAGAAAGGCAGGAAATATCATGGACTCCTGATGAATTCAGGCAAGGGGTCAAGACACCACGATACCACTTACTAGCCATGTATTCCTGGGATAATTAGCTGGCCCAATGGGCATCAGGTTCTTCCTCTGTGAAGCAAGTGGGTCTGATAAGCCCTGTCTTATAGGACTGCAGGGATGTGTGGAGTGTTTTTAAACCACCGTGCACATTGCCTGGTGGAGACTGAAACTGTGATGAATGGCAGTTATTTCTAATATCGTTTTTATCCCAGATACTTCCACTCTCACCTCTGGCACTGTGATTACTTGTTTGTCATCAAGGTCATGTTAGAGAATGTGCAGTTCAGTAGAGCATAGAACACCCAATTGGCCAAACAGTGTGTTCCCAATTCATGGATGTATGCTGACATTCAGGTGTGGTGAGCCTTTGCAGCTGGACACAACACAAAGCTTCTAGAAAGAGAGTCTAGGAACAACTCTTTCCCTCTGTCCAAGCTGCTCTTTCATCCAAACAAATGCTTTCATTCATTTCACCCCCACCCAAAATCTACCCCTTGATAATGATTGGCCAGATCACACTCAAGATCATTAACATTCAATCCCAATTAGGCTTTCCCAGGCCATCATGTTACTCATGGCCCAGTAACTGTATTTCTGTAGAAATCTGTGCAGATGATGGGTATAACATGCCTAGTGCTCATACTGTCCAATGGCACTGAGACTGTGTGCAGGAAACCACCCTTCCTAACCAGGTGGAGATTCCCCTCTGGCTTATCCATGATCCCAAAGGAACTTGTCAGGACAATTTTCCACTTCACACTTCCCTCTCACACCCAAGACACACAATGTGCTGCTGCCACCTCCAGCTTCTTTACAATCAACCCCAGCAGAGGGAATCAGTTTCCCAAATACCCTGGCTCAGGCCATACACATTATTTTTTCTTCTTCATTGATTAAGGTATTACGTATGTGTCCTTATTACCCCATTGCCCTCCTCCACCCCCCACTCATGCCCTCACCCCCTGACTTCTGTGTCCATTGCTTAGGCTTATATGCATGCATACAAGTCCTTTGATTGATCTCTCTCCCTTACTTCCACTCTCCCCTACCTTCCCTCTGAGGTTTGATGATCTGATTGATGCTTCTCTGTCTTAGGATCTGTTCTTGTTCATCAGTTTATGTTGTTTATTATATTCCATATATGAGTGAAATCATGTCATATTTAGCTTTCTCTGACTAGGTTATTTCACTTAGTATAATGCTCTCCAATTCCGTCCATGCTATTGCAAGTATGCTGCGATAAAAATGAAGTCCATTCACAAGTGAGTGCTGGTTGCTGGAGGCCCACTGCCTCACCTGTTCTGTTACTTGTTTGTAGGATTAAGGGGACACCTAACCCTTTCCTTATATGACTTCAGCTCCTACACTATCATCCTGTGGGTGTGTGTGTCCTGTTTATGATAGTGTGCCCACTACTATCACAGGCCTTCCAGAGGACATGTCTGGGGATTAAATGAACTACTGAGCAGAGGTGGCCTTTATGCAGATGAAATCCCTCCATTTTCTTACCACAACCAAGGATCATTGGATAATTTGTTTCATGGAAAGGCAGACAAGAAGAGATAAGAAGCAAAAATAAACAACATTTTGCTTTTATTTTTCTATTTCTAAACTCCATCAATTGTACTGCTGAATTCTTTCACATTTCCAAGGAAATCCTTTTATAATGCCATGTTATCTATTTTGGGATCACAAACTACGATGGGAAGTGTCCCAATTTTCGTTATACAATAGCAAATCTCTTACTCTTGAGCTGGACATGTAGAAATATATAATGTGATCAATGTCATTTACAAACTTACATGCTAAAAGTTTATGAAACCTTCTATGAAAAGGAACATTACAAAATCTCCTTTAAAAATATCAAAGTAATAAATCATAAATTTCTCAATTATCATAGGAGCCCAAAGCTTTCCCTGGGCCTCACTACTGCTTTCGCCCAAACACAGATTTGAAAATGGTATGCACTTTACGCCCAGCAAAAGAAGTTAATGCACATGGGCCTCAAAAGTGCCTGGATACAACTCTGGCTCAGGCATAGTGGTTTTCATTGCACTCAGGCCCTTCAGGCAGAGATGGGAGGAAATGGGAATCCCTATGATTAACCGTGAGCACAAACTTGAGGGCTTTCAATGTGGTGGTCTCAGCATGGGCCCTGGGGCCCCACAGGAACTCATAGCTTGCAGGATTGGTATTGGGCACCTGGCGGTACACCAGGTACTGTTCCTGCACCCAAACTTTGGTGATGTGCTCCCTGGGCTCCCCATAGATCCAATGCTCCTTCCCATCATACACCCCTAAAACACTCAGTGCTTCCCATACTTTCTCCTCAGGGGCACAATCATCCTCCACAGCAATCACCCAGAGAAGTGTGACCAGGAGACCTGTGTTGGGATATCTATGGCCATCGCTCATTATCCCATGATAGGTGAGGCCCAAGGCGGTGACCAGAAAATAGGTGTGGGCACTGGGGCCCACTTCCTTCACATCAATACCAAAGACCAGCTGCATACACTCAACGGCTGCACTGAAGATCTCAGGAAAGTGGTCCTGGTGCTCTTTGATGACACTACTCAGCATTTCTGCCTTTGTAGTTGGCTCCTTTGCACGATACTTCAGGAGCAGGAACTCAACCATTTCCATCAATGTCGAATGCAGTGCTTTGTGGAGCAAGGAATTGGCATCTTCATCAGGGCCTCCCTCAGTGTTTGGACCCTCCTCATCTTGGCTGCTGGAGCTCTCATCTTCAGATTGGCTCCATGGAAAGGCTGCCATGGCATGGCGGGAGGGGAAGGCACCCTCAAGACTCTGGGGAGGACTTGATGTCTCAGCAGCAGACACCTCCTCTAGGCTGTCTATAAACAGGACTGAGGGGGAGGAAGACCGAGAGGAGTAGAGAGACAGGGCCTCCTCCTCCGCCTCCCCCTCCTCCTCTTCCTCCTGCATAGCCCAGAACAGCTCCTCTGCCAGCAGGTCGGGGATCTCCTTTGGGTCCTGATGGTCTTCCTCAAGCTCACTCATATGATGACCAGGCATGATGACTCGTGCTCGAACAGTGACTGAGTGTGGGCAGAAGATGGGCGATGAGGAACCACGGGCCTGGGGGAGGGGGAGTGTGAGAGGCATGAGCTGAGAAACACACCCGAGGCAGCTCTGACAAAGGTGACTTCCAGGTCTCTCCTTTAGGGGTGTACATGGGACTCACAGGGCTCACTCCTGATCAGCCTGCCCACTAACAACCTGAAGTAGGAAGTGACATGACTGTTCAGGGTATAGAAGGCACAGCACAGGGTTCTGTAGCTGACGGTGGGGTATGATGTGTCAGGTGTGGGGTCCCCTCTGACATGGGTGGGGAGCCCATAGGGACATATTCATGGTCAGCACCTCACCTTAATTGCTAGCACTTCCTGGCCTCCTGCTGCTCTGTGACCTTAGAATATGTAGCATAGACCAAGGCCTTCACCTCCTCCAATCCAGGGGCCTCTTCTGGAGGGAACAAAGGGGCACTTCAGCATGCACATGGCAATCACAGTCCTGGGACCCCAATGCTGACAGCAGGTGCAGCAGGACTCTGTGAGGTCCCCTCTGTTATGGGTGGGTGGTTCCTCCTTGCACATGTAGGATCCTCACCTTTCCC